GAATTAGCACGGAGGTGTATAATGGCATGGAGGAAGAGGGAAGGGGGAACTTCCCCCTTTGAAAAGGAGGGGGGGGGCGTGAGTTTGCCCGCGACACAAGCCATACACCAATAATGAAGTGACAGGTGATTACCCATTCCGCGACAGCTTGAACTTATTACCCATGACAACTCGCAATCGCACAACAAGTTGAGAGCGCAGCCATGCCGGCTGGCCGCGCCCCGGGCCCGGGCAGGGTAGGTGCAACCCCTCTGGGACCACGCTGATGATGCGCGGGGGGAAGTCACGGAGCGCCCTTCTACTGGGCTGGGCCGGCCAAGGGCGGACCGGACTATGGACGACCCCCCCCCCTCCCCTCCCCAGCAATTGATGTGATAGTGATAACCGTGCAGCGTCTGACAGCATCGTGATGTGATAATGAGGGAGGGAACTGTCACGTGCTCTACATACCCGACCTAGACAAAACACGACGACGGCAGAATACGTCTATTATCCTTCATTGGCAAGCAGTTCAAAATACCGAGTCATTGACATAACATCGCGCACGGATTGGCCGCCTCGCGAATTTCCTATACACAGTAATGATGAAGAGGTGTGTAAAAGAACGTGGAGTTGAGATAAAAAAAAATCTGCCGCGTTAAAGTGGTCTCTGGCCACGGTACAGTCGTGTGCGACCCCGAGCGCGACCTAAAAGTTGCGCCGCGATTATACGACCCGCGAACAGCGAGCCTTTTGCGGTGCCAGCTGGCGCCAGCTGCTGCCTCCCGTCAGTCCAGCTGGAGGGCCCCGCGGCGCCGCCTCCAGGAGCCGGGGCACTGACACCAGCCCGGCCGCGCGCTGGAGGCCCCGCGGCCCCCTCGCGGTCCCCTCAGGGCCCCTTCCCGTGACGTCACACGGAGGGGGCGGTGCTCCCAGGGCGACCCGGGCCGGAGCCCATCCAAGTTCCGGAGCCTACCAGACCAGGACGGCGCGCCCACCCACGCACGGACGGGACGGACACCCTACGGCCAGGACGGCGACGTCGCGGCGGCGAGGCGGGCCATCACCGGGGACGCGCCAACACCAGGACAACGGCGCGACGGCGCGGTACAGCAGCGCGACTCTGTGCGGGGCGGCGGGCGCGGGCGGCGGGAAGGCTCCTCCATGCTGCGAGGCCTCAGCGGGGCCACTGGTCGATCGCGAGGGGGCCCCCGCGCCGCGCGCGCCCCGCTGGGGGCAGAGCTCGGGAGCAACACAGTCACCGCCTTCTCGCAGCCCGCCAGGCCGGCCCCGTCGACACGAGGACCGCGCGGGCCGCGCCAGTCGCGCCTAGTCGCGAGGGCCTAAGCTGAGCCCCGCGCCGTCGCGTTGCCGCCGCCCAGAGTCCATCAGGGCCGCGGGCGAGGTTGCGCCGGTCCGACCGCGAGCCCGCGGGGAGCAGCTCGCTAGCGCCTCCTGGCGGACGCATCCACGAACCACGCGATAACGGCCCGCAGAGGGGAGGGGAAAGGGAAAGGGAGAAAGGGGCGTCGGCCGGATGAGAAACGCAACGGCACTCTATGAGACGGGCGCCGCGTGCACGAAAAGTTGCAGCAGCAGCAGCGGGCGCGGCGGTATGAGAGATTTGGCGGAGTGTACAATCGTTACCCGCGCCCATTGACCTGCTGTTCAGCAGCAGCACCTCACTCCCCACCTTCGCCGCTGCGACGGATGACGGATGCACCGCGTGTTGCCCGCGGGGCTTACAGCGGAAGAAAAGGGGGGGGGGGGGAGGCAGGCACCAAGTAATAAATCCGCAATCATCGTCTGTGCGCCGGCTTCTTCTCGGGCTTCGACAATCTAAATATTTGCCAGAGGATAATAAGGAACATGTGCTGAGAGGCCACTGACACTGTCAAACACTAGCAGCACCAATTGCGCAATTACTGTAGTCGCGAAAGAAATTACCAACCAACACACGCCAGCGCCCGCCCCGTGCCATGGAGAGCGAGGAGAGGGCGGGGGTCTCAGCCTACTGGTAGAGACAGTCTTGGGGAACTGTCTGACAAGAAGGCAACATTTTACTGTCACCCTCAGGTAAACAAGGGCTTTCATCAGCCGCATACAAAAGCCGCGAGCGACACACATGGTGTGGTATTCCCCCCCTCCCTTTTTCCTCCCCGGGACATGACAGTGATAACACTTTTCCACGGCGACGTCTGCCTCTTTCAGGTTTAGGGGCGATAAATGCAGGGGATGATGGTTTAGCCCCCTTCTACGGCCGGCCGTTACCCCCACCCCCTGCTCCTCGCGACACTTCCTGAACGGCCAACGCATAGCACGCGGGAAAGGTGACCGAGGCACTCATGGGCAGACATCCGAGCCGGGCGGCGAGTGGGACGCAACGCAAGCAGCGGAAAGCAACAAAAGGGCAAAACGGCTGAGACAAAAACTTAAAATAAAACGAGAATGGGGAGAAATTGGGGGAGGGGGGAAATCCAGCGAAATGTACCTGCTGCTGAGTCTTCTTTCTCGGAAACTCCGTCGAACGTCCCATAAGACTGCATGCTCTGGGGTAGGCTGCGGAGAGGCAAGAGACAGACAACAACAGCTGGTCAGCAGAAAACGTGACGCGCGCGGAGTCAAACATAACCTCGGAAAACCAACATGAAATTACGATACACGCGGACAGAGCGGGCGGCCAGTCATACTGGCGTTATCGGCTCCTATCAGTAACTTCCTTCTCGGCGTGACGAGCGTCACGCGGCCCCACCTGAGGGAGCGGAGCGCCGCACCTACCCTCTCACCCCCTACTAACTCACCCCCC